GGACTTGCAACCCCCGAAGTCGACCAGTAGTGTGGCGCATCCGTGCAGCTTTAGCAGCGACCCGTTCACGCTAACAAGAGTCTTCTCCGGGACAGACAGCGGAGTTTGTGAATTTGTCACGCGGTCGGCGTAGTCCTTCCTTAGTAGGTTGACGGCAGCTCCTGTGTCGGCCACGAATGAGACAGTCTGTGGTCCAATCCGGCCGCGGATATGGAAAGCGGAGGGAATCGGTGTATAGTCGGCCTTTGGTATATCACCCTCGGTAGCCTTGCCACTGGCGCCGAGGGTTGCTAGTTTCCCTGGGTCCGTGGCGAAGGGCATGGCGCTGGGCAATTTCGAGCCAGTTCCCTGCAGCGGTAACACCTCCGGAGGCCTTGTCATGAATTAGGACGCCGGGCATCGCCCCGGTATGGAGATCCCCCCTGTCTTTGTCACCGGGTATCAGAGAGGGCCGACTCCAGCTTCTCCATTCGCGTGACCAACTGTTGCACGGCGTCGGTAAAATGTTCGCTTGTCGGAGTGTTGCGGTAGGTCGGGCGGCGTTCGTTCGTTCCAGGGTTGCGGTAGTTCACGCCCACGACTGGGAGTTCGGTTGGGTGTATGCGGGGTTGCACGCCTTCGCCTCCTGCTATTGTAGGAGCTCGCTTGGCTAGACTCAGGTGCACTTGCATCTCGAGGGTGGCGGTGACTGCCTCGTCGATACTCGCTGGCTGTTTCTGCCAAACGCTGAACGCCAGCTGTGGGTCGGTGGGCTGTGTCAGGAATCAATCCACTGCTAGTCTCTCCCGGGCGGTGGCTTCCATGTCAGGAAACGCTTTGTCGATCAAGGACTTTAGGTCTTCTCCAAAGCTCGCCCAGTCCTCCGAGGGGCGTACGTGGAACTCTGCCGCGTACAGTCCCCGCTTGCTCTCTGGGTCGAAGTGGCGGCACACGGCCTCCCACAGGGCAGTGTAGGATTGCGTCGTCTCTTCCGACAGACTCCGTAGGGCAATTTGCGCTCGACCCACAAGGCGAACTGCGAGCCACTGGGCCTGCTGGTCTTCGCTCCACTCGTTCAGTGCGGCGGCATGTTCGAAGTGCTCGATCCAGGCGTCGAACGGCCCAACGCCGGAATAGGTCTCTGGGGTTACGATCGGGTGTGTTGCCATCTCCTTGTCGTCTGCTCGATCAGCGATCCTGCCGACTACGCCAGTGTGACAGTGTGACGCCCGTGCTTCAGCGCTACGACAGGGGTTCAGTACTGGGCAACACACTCTCTAGCTGGGTGAATGGTCTAGCTTATATACAGTGTGTGGTGATTGGGCTTGTGGGTGAGGTGATAACAGTGGTAGTCTGTATACTTGGTGCCGATGAGTCATCTAGACAGCGTTCGTGTTACAGTATAGAACATTGAAGTACGCCTTTGCATAGGCAAAAAAAGAGTCAAGGTCATCTGTAACCTTCTTACCAATCTCCAGTGGCCCTTTGCACAGCGTCCCTTAGTCACTCTTCTCTGTCAAAAAGTATCGCTGCGCGTGGCGTACGCAGCGATTTCTAAGGGCTTAGTATACGGATGCGTATATGGAAAAATGTCGCAATGTGCGTTACGCGCCAAAAAATCTGCGGTCGTCAAATTTTAAAAGTAGCTCGAACTCCGTAAAAGAACGGGCTATGGCCATCAAATTTTCCAAGTACACGCGGACAGAGCTGCTGGTGCAAGATCACAAAGAATCTCAAAAATTTAATTTGCCGACTAATGCCACGTTTTCACGTGGACGGTCACATATGTGAGTTAGCTTAGAGTCCCAGTATAGGATGTGGAAGGAGACAACCGAAGAGCACCTCCTGGTATCGTGTGGGCAACAGTAACCGTTCTACTTCCGGAGATGCTCCAGCCTACAGAGAAGGACTAAAAAGGTTTCTGATCCTCTGTGAGCATAATATGTGATGTGTAAGATATCGGGTGACAGGAAAAAGTTACGAGGTGGGCTACGGCTAGGGCATCGATTATTAAGTGCTGGATTAGGGCATCGATATTTAAATGTTGGACTAAGGCATCGATATTTAAGTGTTGGACTAGGGCATCGATATTTAAATGTTGGACCAAGTAGGGCTAGGGCATCAATACTTAAGTGTTGGACTAGGGCTAGGGCATCGATACTTAAGTGTTGGATTTAGGGCTTAGGCCAGTATAAGTAATCAGGGCTAGGGGCTACGGCCACGTAACTTGAATAATAGCTACAAGATTCGTAGGTAAAAGACAAGTATGGCATCTCCTAACTTAATTAGTAGCCATTTTGCCTGAAGCTAGGGCTTGGATATTGAGGGCTAGGGCTAGGGCTAAATTGATACTTACGTCTTAGAGCCATTATTGCTAGGGCTAAGGCTGCTTGAGTATCTTAGGGCTAGGGACAAAAGGCCTGAGCTAGAGTTGGATAAATAATGGGCAATTGTGGACGACGTGACGCGCTCATGCGCGACATTATTTGCAAGGTCGACGGTTTTTCTGTGTGATTCTCTCGTGAGTTTGTTGCCTTACAGGCCATATTTCGACATCTAGGCCACTTGCATGTGTCCAAAATATGTATAAATATGCTACCCGTATGCTACCCGTACGTGTTTTCTCTTGCCCTCCCTTGCAAGACCTGGAAGTCAGTTGGAGCATCAAAGTGCTTAACTACAGTCACAACTGCTTCTTCTAAGGTTACTTTCTAGCCTTAAATAGCATTAGCTAAAGTCTTTGTATCACTATACTTATTGTGTTTGCAGCCACAAATTGCCGCCCAAAGGCGCAAAGGTAGTCCAGGGGGGGTTTCCCAGTTGTAGGTGGGTGTAGCCTTCAGGCGTGGCTGGCTGGTATTGCTGAAAGAGGGCTGTGCGAGCTAAGTAAACACAACCTGTTTGGTTGCGTCTGTGACATCCGTCTGTATGGCAGGGTAATTGCTGTCACATACTACGCTATGACATCCGTCCGCAATGACATGTTTACTTAAGTAGTGTAGGAATTAGTAACAAGCTAGGCTTTGGCTAGGTTCTGGCATAGGGCTAGGTCTAGGCATCACATTATTAGGGCTACAGATAGAGCCCCAATGTCCTCTGCATAGGAAGAAAGTTGTACGTATGAGGTTTAAGCATACGAGTCATTGTTACACTTTTAAATCTACAAGTTGGGCAAATAGGGCTGAGCGTCCTCTGGGACAGTGTTTCCGTCATAAACGGTAGGACTAGGGCTGATAGTCCTTTGGGGCAATGTCCTCCGGGTGCTCGGCTATACGGCTATGTGCTGTTGTCAGTTCGAGTAGGAATAGCCAATAGCTATCGATATGAGTGCAAACAATAGGATGAGTGGGGTACATCATGAGTGGTGTGAAACAAAGAATTGCGGTGATGGATTAGCCAATAGCTAATTTGAAACAAAGAATTGCCAATTATGAATATATAGCCAATAGCTAAGGGTGTGGATGGTCAGGGTCTTGGAGGTGGTGGGATCGTTGGTGGTTGAAGACCCACTGTCGAAGAAGAGGGGGAGGGCCCTCATCCCACTGGACCTCCTGGATGGGTTGGGGAGCTTCAGTTTTACGGCCTCCAGTGGGACCGTATCTTCTTCCTTGCAGTTAGGGCGGCCGTGGCCCTGTCCATTTTGTGCACCTTGACGAGGGCAAATCAGGGCTTAGGGAAAACTTCCAACTGTATTAGGGCTTAGCCCTAAGTAGGGTTAGGGCTAGGGGGGGCTCCTGTCATTGTCCTCTAGTTGTGTTTTTTTTGTCCTCTGAAGCCACCGTTATGTTGGCTGTATTCAATTGTAACTTACCTGTAAGTGACTTGAATTGTTCCCATAGTTTTTATGATACAGATCAAAGACCTGTGGCAATTTCTTTGCCTTTCTATTCAGTGTTTTGATGTGATGTTTCATATACACTCTGCAGGTTCCCTCATTTCTAGAGACGTTTCTACTGTACTGGTGGAGAGAAAAAATCATCACAGCGGTGGTGTTCTATCATCATAATGAACCGGTGTGTGTCGTTTGTTTTATGTTATTGCGTTTCTATTGTTTCTCTCTATCAACTCACCTTCACCACACTGTACACTTCTAATAAGTGTTCACCCAGCCAGTATCGCACATTACCTTCTTTCGTGGTGATTTTGGTGGCAGTAGGCAATTGTAACATACATATGTACACATGTATGTGACTTAGTATAGGTTCCTATGCATTCTCTACATGATTGATGATTGAAGGCCTGTGATAATTTCTGCACTTTACCTTTCTATTCACTCACAGTGTGTTTGTTGATGTGATGTTTCATATACACTCTGCAAATCATCGCTGTACTAGTGGTCTTCTTCATCATTGAACAGTGGTTTGTTGTTTATTGCATTTCTATTGTCTCTGGTTCCATCAACTCACCTTCACCATGCTGATGCACACTTTTTCGTTATGTTGGCTGTAGTCAATTGTAACTTACTGGTAAGTGACTTGAATTGTTCCCATAGTTTCATGATACAGATCAAAGACCAGAGATGGTTCCTGGTTTTTATTACTGTGGGTCACACTTATGTTATGTGATTCTCAGTCCAGCACAGACATTGTCCTCTATTTGTGGAACTTCAAAATGTGTCCTTAATTGACAGGTTTTTTTCTATTGTGTCGTTTATTCAGTGTCCTTTACAAGAGGTTCTACTCTATCCAAGTAACGTATGGCAGGGTTAATTTGGCGACTAGTTGGGCGATTTCGCACATTGGCATGGCATAATTAAAGAGCAGAAGTATGAGCAAAATTATAATCACTGCAAACCTTTCCCGCTTTATTGGGGAGAGACAGATATTATGTAGGGGGAAAGCACCTTTATGCTTGGATATCACTAAGTACGGTAGTACTTAGTATATAGGGATGGGCATGGTACCTACAGCATCATAAATGTGTGGCGTATAACTCTCGACTCAAAGATTCATGAACTCTCTCTGCACATGCGCAGTACACATTATAGTATAAGTGATAGGGTGATACATGAGACGCATGCGTAAATGTGTGAGGCCATGCAGATAGTAATGGTGAGGATATTAGTTTGCTACATTACTCTCCCCCGTCGGGAAAGTTCGCCCTCGAACTTGGTCACATGTATCTGTCTGGAGGTCGCACCTCTCGTCTAGGACGTCGGTTCCTCTGAGTCCCTTGATCAAGACCTTCCATCCCACCCCGGGTGTGTCCTTTCCTCTGAATTGCTTCTGAATGCTGGGTTTGTGTAGTGCTCTGAGTAGCCCCCACTCCGCGAGTAGGTTTCCCACTTGAATGTACACCCATCGGATGACTTCTCCATTCTGACCCTGTCCCTCACACTTGGGCTCTTGTGGTGACACCGATGTAGGCTGCGGTCCATCAGCAACATGCCCTCCATGCTCTAGGGCAGTAATAGAACCATCCACTCTCTTCGGCAAAACCCTTGCACTTCCCTGTGGTCCCAACTGGTCTGCTGTCTCCGAAGCACTGTACTGCTGAGGTGTGGAGGTGAAAGTATCTACCGGCTCCCCTTCGTCTTGCACTGAGGCCTGGTCTTGCAGAACGCAACCATCGAGAACTGCCGTGGGATGACAGACTGTTGCAGCTGCAGTTGGGAGTGCACTACTGAGATCGTCCACCGTCTCATCTTCATCTCCAGACTGGTTTCGACTGCCAGCGGTGCACGTGGATGTCTGCTCATCAATAGTACTTGGGGGTGGAGTACTGTCTGCATTTCCGGGTGTCGGCGCCCCGACACTTCTCTGTTCCCTTGTAGTTGCCGAAGAGTTGGCTAAAGGTTGACTCTGTTTTCCCGCCGATACTGGAACAGTCGGTCTGGCTGAAAGTAGCTGGTCAACCCAGCGAGGGGGTCGTCCTGGGCCCCTTCTCCCACTCCCGTACCAGTAGTATCCTGCGGGGAATTCGGCTGGGCAGGGACAAATACGACTCTGGTGGACATGTATATGATCGTGTTGAGGAAAATACACCTTCGTGCAAATGACAGTTGGGTCCTCCCTCGAGATGATTCTATATGGTCCGTGCCAGGGCTTTGAGAGTTTTCTGTTCTTTCCTGACTCTTCATGAGGGAAGTATATTAGGACCCAGTCGCCCACCTTGAAGCGTACATCCCTCGCCTGTCGGTCGTAGTGATTCTTGTACTTTGCTTGGGCTCGTCTAATAGCCTCGGTGGCAAGTTGTCTGGCGGACCCCAAGGACAGCATTAGTTCCTCCCGGTAATCCTCAATCGTTGTCGACGGCTCTGTGATAGCTGGGAGGTACGCTGCCTCAGTGGGAGATCTACAGTCGATTCCAAACAAAAGAAACGATGGTTTTTCCCCCGTTGACGTGTGTGGTGTATTTCTATACGCCCATAGCACTCCCGGCAAGAACTGGTCCCACTGTTTCCCAAACCGGGCTGCATGTTTCCGGAGAATCTGTTTCAGGGTCCGGTTAAACCGCTCCACCGCTCCGTCACACTGCGGATGGTAGGAGGTAGTATTCAACTTAGTGATCCCTAACATTTTGCATAGGTCCAGTATCAGATGGGACAACAGGTTAGTCCCGCGATCGGATAAGAGTGACTCAGGGACCCCAAACCATGGTATAACTTCTTCGGCCAGCAGAAGGGCGATTCGGGCAGTCTTCTGATCGGGGACAGGAAACACAAATGGCCACTTCGTGAAGAGATCTTGCACAACAACGACATGTCGGTTTCCCCTCTCTGTCACTGGAAGGTCCATGACATCAATCCCTAAGATCTGGAAGGGTCGCTGCACTGGTATGGGGTGCAATGGTGGCTTAGTCCTTCGTCCAACACCCGTCGTGATAGCACATTCTGGACACGCTTGAGCAACCCTGCACGCATCTGCGAAACATGTGTTCCCACCACCAGTTAGTCGCCAGGGTATTAAACATCCTCTGCCCCGAGAAATGTCCTCCGAACGGTCCTGAGTGTGTCTCCTTGAGTAAACGTTCCTGGAGGGACTTGGGCGCCACAGCTCGCCTACGGTTAGTTCGCTTCGGATCAATGTAATAGACGACATCATCAACTACTGCAAACAGCGATTGTTGTAGGGCCATCTTACGTGCTCTGGTGGGGTCAATCGGCAAAGAGCCATGCTGAATGAACTGCTTCAACTCACTTATTCGTTCATCACGCTTTTGCTCTGCTACCAACATCGGCGCAATAGTAGGTTGCAAATGTGGTGCTGAGTTGTCGCTAGTAGAAGGGGAAAGTTGTCGCTCCGCTTCCATCGTATACACCCGCAATTGTGTCCCCCTCTCATCTTCTCCGCCAGTCTGTAGATGCTCCATGTCAGGAGAAATTCTCTCCACCACACTATAACTCCGCTCGGGGGCAGTTTCCGTGTTCTCCTTACACCCTGGCGTCTGTGTCGGACTACCCGTAGTAGCTCCATCCTGGGGACTGTCTGAGGTACATGAGGCAGATTCCTGTCCACCCTTGGCAACTTCACCTCCCAACCATTCACCTTCACTCGACAACTCACTTCCCTGGAACTGTCGGTCTGTAATCCCTCCTTCGTGGCTTCCCTCATGGAAACAAGTGGCTTCCTGAGATTGGTCGAATCTGTCTCCTCCTCCTTGAAGGATGGTGGGGGGACTCTGGAGGGTGTCGTGGGTGTGTTCGTCGTGATGGGCCGCGTTTTCGGTGTACTGAGAGAGGAGAGCTCCATCTGTGCATCCTCGCGGAGGTGGCTGCTCGTGGACTGTAGGAGATTGCGGAAGGTGATTGAGAATGACTGATGTGTCTGGGAAGTCGTGGAGTCCGTCGCCGAAGCTCCTTGGGGTGGCACGCTGACTTGGATGGTGGCTCTGAGGCGTCTCGCCTTGGAGTTGGTCGGGGTAGCTAATGGAGGCAGGCATACCCGCTCCATCCTGCAGGCTGGTGACGATGTTAGAGATCTGGGCTTCGGCTTCTGCTATGCCCACCTCTGGTGCAGGAAGAACTGGTGCACGGGAGAGGGCATCCGCATTCTTGTTCTCCTTGCCTGCCCGGTACTTGATGGACACACTCTTCAATCCCCGGCCATACACCTTGGTCCACCATCTGGCGTGTTTAGCCATTGGGTTGTCAGATTCCAAAACTGCCCTGACGGCTGTGTGGTCCGTGAATATGGTGAGGGAGTTCCCGTATAGATAGTGATGGAAATGGGACACCCCCCACACAACTGCCAACGTTTCCAATTCAGTGACGGCATATTTCTTCTCGGCAGCGTTGAGAGCCCGACTCGCATAGGCTATGGGGTGCAGCTTCTGGTCAGCTTGAAACTGGCATAATACGACTCCTAGACCAAGTACCGATGCGTCGGTTTCCATGTAGAAGTCCAGTTTGAAGTCCGGATATGCCAATACTGGTGCTGTTGTCAATCTTTTCTTGAGCTCCACGAATGCTCCCTCCTGTTCTGCACCCCAGTGGAACGGCACACCTTTGCAAGTGAGGTCGTGCAGGGGTTGGGCGATCCTAGCGAAATTGTGAATAAATCGTCGATAGTAGGAGGCAAGCCCCAGAAATCTTCGTGTCTCCTGAACTGTCTGTGGCACAGGGAACAGGTCTACTGCCTCCACCAGACGAGGGCTGGTCTTTAGACCCTCGCGTGACACCGTATGACCGAGGTACTCAAGCTCCTGCCGGACAAATTTGCATTTCGACGGCTTGAGCATCAGGCCAACTTCAACAATTCTCTCAATAACTCGCCTTAGATGGTGTAGATGTTCTTGGAGTGTTCTGGAAAACACCAAAATGTCGTCAATATACACTGACACAAACTCTGGTCCTTCCTCAGGATTGAGCTGGGAGATAACTTGCTGCATCAGTCGTTGAAATACAGCAGGGGCGTTCATGAGCCCAAAGGGCATCACACGGAATTCGTATAGCCCGTACGAGTGATAAAGGCCGTCTTCTCTTGCGACCCAGGGTGCATTCGGATCTGCCAGTATCCCGATGCCAAATCAATACTGGAGAAATACTTGGTCTGGCCAAGCTGATCCAACAAGTCCTCTATCCGAGGGAGTGGGTATGTGTCTGGTTTCGTCACGGCATTCAGTCTCCTGTAGTCCACGCAAAACCGATGTGAGCCGTCACGCTTCCGCACAAGCACCACTGGACTGGCCCATGGAGATTTTGATTGCTGAATCACTCCACTCCCCTGCATGGTGCGTAGTTTTCTGGCTACTTCTTGGCGCACAGAAAAGGGCATCCTCCTCACTCGTTGCTTGATGGGATGGGTATCTCCCGTATCAATGTCCATGTAGACGAGATCAGTCTCTCCTCGCTCACCCTCCTCTAGGCAGAAGGCTTGATGGTGCGCAGTGATGAAGTCTTGGAAGGTCTTTCTCTCTTCTGGTGGCAGATCTAACTCTCCGATTGCTTCCCTCAGCTTCTCTCGTCGAGAGTCTTCCCGCGCTGGGGTTGTACCAGGGTCCACGGTAGCTGAGAGTACCTTCACTCCCCCGGTGAGTTGCTCCACTTCGATCACTGCTGCCCCTGTAACGCCGCCCAGGATCGCTCCGGCTTCAATAACTTGAGTGAATCCTGACTTGTTGGACATCGGGACATGAAGAGTTCCATTGCTGTCTTGTTCCAGTAGGGCGTCGTCCAGGTGAATACCGAACACTTGTTCAGAGTTTCCTTCAGGCTGGAAGATGATCGGGCTAGGGGGTAGGGCTGCCTCCGCCTTGATCTCGGCCATTACCCACTTGTTAGCTGGGATCCGAGTGGTTTGGATGAGATGTACACGGACCATGGGCACAACAGCATCTGGCGTTTGGATTTCTCCTTTGACAGTTTGCGGCACGAGCACATCTTGACTACGAGGTCCTGGGGCGTCCGTCGCCATTGTGGCGGGATCCCCCCCCCCTTGGAGGTTGTGCTTGGGTAGTGTGTGCCTCCACTTTCTGCTGGATTGCTCGAGGAAGTCCCGTGCTGCTGACCGACCTGTCCTGACTTCTTGTGCTGCTTTGCTAGACCTTAGTCTTCCTGACGTCCGTGTCATTGAGTATCTTTGCCGGTGGTGCTTCCAGTTTGCTATCGCTGCTGTTGGCTTGTGTACTGTCCTTTTCTGCTTTGATACCATCTCCACCCTCACCCAGTTTCCTTGAATTCCCCTCGCTCTTCTTTTCTGTTTGGCGATCCTGTCTGATTCCATTCTTGTTTTGTTGACCATGCACTTGCTGAGTCGGTTCCGGCCCTGGGCTAGAGTTAGTTTGGCTAGGCGAACAGGTATCCGTGTTTGGAGACCTCTCGCTCTCTCCCTTTGGTCGGCAGCTCCTCCCAGGGGTCAGGATTGAAGGGTGGTAGGTGATGATTTGCAACTGTCTACAGACACCCTCTCCAGTAAGAGTTGGGTAGGGCATCGGCCTTCACATACACCGGTGTCTTCATTGTTCTATCACCAAAGCTTACGTCCAAGTCGATTCGCCCATGCAGCACAAATGAACGTCCATCGTAAGTCCTGGGGAACTTTTCCGGGACCTGAAATTGGCTTTTACGTAATCGTGCGACTGCCGCTACTTTGCGAAACAGTTCTGCTCCGATGATTGTAATTTCAGACCCGCTGTCAATAATACCGCGAGCCGGAACTCCCTGTAGCTGTCTACTGCCCCTGTCGGTAACACGAACTTGGTGTACTTCTGCATCATCCTCGGGGTCTGAAAACAGACAACTCAACAGGCCCTGAGTTTCTTCCAATTCCTTGGTCTGGTCACTCGTGCCGTCAGTCGCTTTAACCTGGCCAGTTGTCACCCCAGGTCGTGGTGGGCCGGTGGCGTTAGTATCACTCGGGTTCCGGCAATCCCATGCAAAGTGTCCATGGAGTAGGGTGTCCCTTGTCTCATCGGACATCCCCTCATGGCCATAGGCTCGACGGAACAACTGTTCCAGACGGCGTATGTAGTC